GGCTAAGGGCGTTTAGGGTTTAGGGTGTCGTTCTGTTGGGCTGCTTTTGGGCTCAGGGTTAAGGGCGTTTAGGGTTTAGTGTGTCGTTCTGTTGGGCTGTTTTTGGGCTTAGGGTTAAGGGCGCTTAGGGATTAGGGTGTCGTTCTGTTTGTCCATGTCGGGCTTTCTTGTCATGGCTGTCAAGGGGTCATGGGCGCACTCTGCGGGGGTTTAGGTTTCCTAGGGAGCCCAACAGCCCTTTAAGGGATTCTGTATTGTTTTTATGATTTAGGGGTATATTCCTTAAGGCCAAGGTCAGACCTGAAAATTATCAGGGAATTAATCTTATATGATTTAGGGCATTCCTTTAACCAAAACGGTACTGGGCTTTCTGCGTTCGTGTTTAGGATTTAGGCGCTGGCAGGGACTGTTCTGGAAATACACGACAGAAGTGCTTGTGCATGGGGAATCCCAGTGTCGGGCAGTGAAGGAACGCGGGGGTCTGACAAGTTCATAGCACTGTTTCCTAATCACCCCTATTACATGAATATAAGAGTAATTACCCTGAAACTTCATTCTAACTACTAGGACCAGTACATTATTCAAGTTCTTGCTCATTGTTGGCTTGAGGGTTTGGGGTTTGCGGCGTGTGATGTCTAGCTTAGAGAGGCCAATGCCGCCCAGTTGCGCTAAATTTGTTGAAGAAAGACGTTAAGAACCTTCGGTCACACTTGTCCAACCACTTGTTTTCAAGGCATATCCCCCAAGCAGAAGGCAGTGGGCTCTCTGGGTCGTTGCTCGCCGACCTTGTCTAAGGCCTAAAACCAAATCCGAAGACCCCTAAACCCTAAACCCTCTCCCCTAAACCCTAAAGCCTAAACCCAAAAGACCCTAGACCCTAAACCCTGAGACCCTGTCTGACGGCGAGCCTTAAGCTAAGGTTTAGGGTTTGGGGGTTTTGGGTGTGCTTTTGTAGGCAACTGGATCGATGAAGAGACCCGAAATACCTCGCGAACGCGCTCTCTACCCCAACTAGTCAACTATTAGGGATTAGGGTTTAGGGTTTAGGGTTTAGGGTTTAGGGAGCCTACGTGTCTGTAGGGCCCCTGTACATTCCATCTTCGGGCTCATGCTGAGCCGCTAAGCCTGCACTCCGTAACCCTAAGCCTCCCCGATGTTGGGTGGTTGCAGCCTGGCCACTCTTGTTCGATGTTGTTCAGTTTCTTCGTTGATGGGCTACAGTAGGGTTTAGGGTTTAGGGCTTAGTTTCAGCACAATCGCCTCTGCCAAGGACATCTGGGATGCTTGGTGTCTTGGCTTAGCAGTTTTGCTGCTCAGGCGTTCAGAGGGCGGTGGTATTGCTGGCTTCAGCAAGACAGAGTTCAGGCCCTGTACTCGATGGTTGAGTTGAGCCTTTACGATATGGTTCGCTGTATTGCTTTGCATGCTTCTGTTCTTTTGTTTGCATTGCTGGTGCACTTTTTTGCGTTTACTTGCTGTTGTGTTGCCTGTGTTTGTTCTCATGATTGTTCGGCAGGGTGTGACCTCTTTAGAGTTTAGGGCTGTGGGTCATAAATCTAAGCCTCCGACAGTCGGGTACACATCGGAACTGAAACTCTACACCCTAAACCCTAAACCGTAGACCCTTGAACTTGGAGCTGAACTAAGGGTTCGGGGCTTAGGGGTTAAGGGTTTGGGGGTTCAGGGTTTACGGAATACCCTCAAACCCTGAACCCGAACCTGAAACCCGAAACCTTGCTTCGGTTTAGGGGTTTAGGGGTTTAGGGGTTCAGGGTTTAGGGTTTAGGGGCTTTAGGGGTTTTAGGGCTTAGGGTTTCGACACGGTGCACTCCCGTCAGGTCTTTCTTCAAGCTCCTTGATTCCGCTGGCGATGGCGCTGTGGATTTGGAGGTTGGGGTGCGCCAAACACCGATCCATA